ATCCGTCACAATTCAGTCATTCCGGAGGTTCGGAGAAGGAAAACAGAAACAACCCCTTTGCCTAAACACAGTGAAAATGGTGATATAGTACGATGTCCTTATCATCACACGAGACACTCACTGAATGAGTGTACCAAGTTCAGGTCTAAGACTATGGAAGAAAGAAAGAAGTTTATTATAGCTAATGGAATCTGCCTCAAGTGTTGTGGGCCTGACAAACATTATGCTAAGAATTGTACGACCTTGGTAAAGTGTGGCTTGTGTAGCCAGTCCTCTCATCCTACAGCACTTCATACTGACAGTCCTAGTCGTCGAGATCACAGGGAAAAGGAAGACCACGGGGGGGGGGGGGGAGAAAAACCATGAAGGGGAGCAAAGTCGTGAAGCTGTCACAATTTCTTGCACTAAAATATGTCGGACAGTGAAGGGGACAAGCAAGTCGTGTGCAAAAATCCTGCCAGTGAAAATATACCTTAAAGACTCTGTAAAGCAGTTCAGAATTGTTTATGCTATGTTGGATGACCAAAGCAATCATTCCCTAGCAGCACCCTCACTCCTCGATGCATTCAATTTGGATGGACCTGAGTATGAATACACTTTGACGTCTTGTTCAGGTTCAGTTATGTCAGCAGGAAGAAGGGCTCTAGGACTCGTTGTGGAATCCCTTGATGGCAGTTGTTCCTTTGATCTCCCCACATTAATCGAATGCTCAGATTTACTGAATAACAGGGAGGAAATACATCGCCTCATATAGCCGAACAATTTTCCCACCTTGCAGATATCAAAGACAGCATCCAGAGTTAATTGAGAGTGCCGAGATTGAACTACTGATTGGAAGAGATCTCATTTCTGCTCATGTCGTTGAGGACCAAAGACATGTGACAGGAAAGCCTGTTCCCTACGCTCAGAAACTTCCCCTAGGCTGGGTAATTATTAGGGCTGGGACGATATATCGAGATATCGATTCAATGTGAGGATGATACGCATATCGATACGTATGAAGAAATATCGAAATATCGCCCAAAAAATCTGACTTATGTTTTTTTCTTTATTTACTTAACATTTTGGGTTAAATATATAAAATAAATATGCAAAATATAAATATGAAATACCTAATAATAAACACCACTTGTGTAAAATAATTTTGTTTTACAACAGATATACAACTTCTTTGAATAAATTATTCCTATTTGTGAAGAAATGTTTTGTTCATTTCAATACAAAAAATATTTTTTATAATTAATTCAACATATCGTGATACATATCGTATCGTGGCTCAAATATCGTGATATGTATCGATATAGAAAATGTTGTATCGTCCCAGCCCTAGTAATTATTGGGCCTGTTTGTCTAGACGCCATTCACATGCCTGATAAAGTGACAGTACATAAAACATATGTGTTGAGCAATGGCCGTCCTTCAGTGTTTCAGCCTTGTGATAACAAGCTGTTGGTTAAGGATGATGTCTTCTTGAAAACAGATCATGATGAGAAGATTGCTCTATCCATAGAGGACACTACCTTTCTTGACATTATGGACAAAGAATTCCAAAGGAACCCAGACCCAAAGGCAGCCGTTACTAAACAATAAACCCCAAGCCATCATTCGAGTACTTTCGCTTGATCGTAGTTTGAAACGGAACCCTATCAAGGGAGAACATGTGTCAAAGTTCATGGACAAAATATTTGAGCTTGCACTGAAAGAAGGGGGACAGCTTAAACTTCACAAAATCTCCTCAAACTCAAAGTCAGTGTTGTTGAAGTTTCCAGCGGATGATCTAGCCAAAGACCTGAAGGATTTAGATATTGGTGATGATTTACCTGTCCAGAGAAGTCTCGGTATGTCATGGGACATCAATGCTGACGTCTTCACCTTCAAGATGTCTACTGACGGGAAGCCCTTCACTCGCAGGGGGGTTTTATCAACCATCAATAGTCTGTTCGACCCCCTTGGTTTTGCATCACCAGTGACTGTACAGGAGAAGATGTTATTCCGGCAGATGTTGACAACTTCTGGCAATGTTGATTGGGATAATCCTCGAGATGATTCACTTCACTCGAAATGGTCAGCTTGGGTCAGCTCTATCCGCCATCTCCAGGACATCAATATCCCAAGGATGTGCTGCAAGTTTTCTGTTATCGAAGCATTGCGCAAGGAAGTGCACATCTTTACCGACGCTTTTAAGGATGCGATAGCAGCTGTAGCATTTTTGAAGGTATGGAAGGATGATGTTAACAGTGATGTTGGTTTCCTTATGGGAAAGGCAAAAGTAGCCCCAGCACATTACATGGGCACACCATTCCTCGTCTGGAATTGTGTGCGGCCATACTTTGGACAGAAATCGCAGAGATCATTAAAGAACACATGGATCTAGAGAAGAATGATTTCTGGTTCTACAGTGACAGTCAGATCTCTCTTGGCTACATCACTAATGAAGCAAGACGTTTTTATGTGTATGTCGCAAATAGGGTCAGTAGGATTCGATCTTTCAGTGATCCTGAACAATGGCGACACATAGCTACAGACCAAAACCCAGCCGACTTGGGCACTCGAGCGTTCGATGCCCAAAGTCTCCCACAAAGTACGTGGCTGCGAGGACCAGCATTCCTAAGGGAAGGCAACCTCTCCACTGCTTTTGTGGGAGAGCACCAGAACTTTGCTTTCATCTTGGACGATGACAAGGAAGTGAGACCAATGGTTGAAGTCAACAAGACGAGTGTCGAGGGTGACTCTTGTGACTTGGTGGTATCTCGCCTTGAAAGGTACTCACAGTGGACAAAACTGGTTCGCAGCATTGCCATATTGAGACATATCTTGGTGACAAAGAATCCATGTGAGCATTCGACCAGACGATGGCATTACTGTCCCAACTCTTTGGATTTAAACTCTCTAAAAGCAGCCGAGATGTTTATCCTGAAAGAGATACAAAAGTCTGAGTTCAGAGTAAAGATAGAAAGTCTCAACAAGGGAAAGGCTATTCCTAAGAATAGCAGCATTATTGCTTTGGCACCATTCTTAGATTCGAACGGTTTATTGCGTGTTGGTGGTAGGATTGGCATAGCTCAGAAGTTTGTCAGCTTTGATGTGCATCCTATAATCATACCAAAGAAACCCCATGTAGCAACTCTGTTGATAAGACACTTCCATGACAGTGTGTTCCATCAAGGACGTCGGATAACAGAAGGCAAGATACGGTCATCAGGATTCTGGATAATAGGAGCCAAGCGTCTCATAGCAGCAGAGATCCATTAGTGTATTACATGTCGCAGGTTACGAGGATTATTCTGTAATCAAAAGATGGCTAACCTTCCAGTAGATCGATTGACTCCAGGACCCCCATTCACATTCGTCTTCGTCGACACATTTGGAACTTGGGATGTCACAGCTCGACGTACGCGAGGAGGAGTAGCCACAAGTAAGAGGTGGGCAGTTCTGTTCACTTGTTTGGTCTCCAGGGGAATCGACATCAAGCTTGTAGAGGAATTGAGTACTTCCTCCTTTATTAACGCATTAAGGCGTTTCCTTTCCGTACGAGGACCTGTCCGTCAATTCCACTCAGACAGAGGGACCAACTTTGTTGGCGCTGTAAATGAATTACAGATGGTGCACCGATTCGTTGAGAAGCCTACAGTGCAGAAATCCCTTCAAGACAAGGATTGTTCCTTAACCCTCCACATGCTTCCCACTTTGGTGGAGTGTGGGAGCGTATCATCGGCGTAACTCGCAGAATTTTAGATGGCATCCTTCTCCGATGGAATGAAAGGTTTAACCCATGAAACCTTGTCTACATTTCTCTCAGAAGTTTGCGCCATAGTGAACTCACGACCACTCGCCGAAATATCAGAGGATGCCAGCGACCCATCTGTCCTTACACCTGCAATGATACTCACTCAAGAGACAGGACACTTACCAGAACCATTACCCACAATAGATCCCAAAGAGTTATATAAGTCTCAGTGGCGCTACGTACAAACTCTTGTAGCTGAATTTTGGCGTAAATGGGAACGAGAATATCTGTCTGTTCTTCAGACTCGACGCAAGTGGACTTCTGATGAGCGTAGTTTGAAAGAAGGAGATGTTGTCATGTTGAAGGAGACTGAAAATCCAAGGAACCCGTGGCCCTTGTGACCAAAACTTTCCCTTCAACTGATGGACATGTACGAGAAGTCGAAGTTCGTGTCGTTAAAGGGGACATTGTGTCAGTATATGTAAGACCCATCCAAAAACTTGTGCCCTTTGTGTTTTCGTAATGATATAATGTATCATGTTGTACATTTTTGCTTTAGATCTATTATTTTCAGTAATGTAAACACAAAAAGTGATTTCCCATAGAAATCAGAAGGGGAGTGTGGTGTTACGGATATTATCCGTTCCGGTTCAGATTTTATAGTGTTTCAGGTTATGTTTGTGTACATCCAAGAAGATCCCGCATTTTGTCAACGACAAATTTGCCACTTGTTTCGTTGTTATCGGACAGTCCAAAGAGTAAGTTTTATGTGCAAAAGGTTTAATATTATTTAGTTATCAAATATGTAAATCTACGCTTATTGTCGTCGAATTGTTTTCGCATATTTTAATGAAACATGAATTGGAAAGCGCACATGGTCATGGCATTATGTGAAAACTCGATTAGATGTTATCATCTGTATCATTTACATGACGTTAATTGTACTTATAAGTAGCAACTTTGTCGATTTGATGTTTAAAATTTTAAGTTGTTTGCCTCTAATAACCACTTTGTAAGATGACTTTTTATTATTGTAGTCTCTTGAAGTAAATTTATGAATGAGGAGGCGAATAACATCTTCAAAAATCTTTGGAGCTTGTTTGCACAATTGTGTAATGATTTTAAACGATTGAAGAACAGTATAATATATTAAGTACTTTCATGCTGAGGAAACTTTTCTTGTGAATGTCATTTACTGCACTTTAAAATGTATTTGATAGTGAAATGACCTTCCTACCGACTCGGCCTACACTGATGTGTAAAATGTATTTACCTTGAATGAGGAAGAAAATGACAAAAAACCTGCCCGCCGGGGAGGTATCGTTCCAGTGAAAATCGCACCATAATCCATAACCATATTTGTTCACTCCCATTAATGGCAAGGTTGCAAGAACAATCTGAATGAGAGCATGCCATACTGAAGCTAAAATAACACTATGGGAGACATACAAAGTAAGGCAATTTATATTGCATGGTATCTAAAACCTAATTTAGCTAAAAATCTTTGAGGTCAGTTTTGTATACTTTTATGACCCTTTCTACAGGTATTATTTAGTCGAAAGTCAAGAAATGCTAGCTAGTCGACAGTGTTCTTAACATGATTTCTAAAATATTAAGAGTTTACATTGACAACCTAAAAGAAGATGAGCGAACAAGGCGAATGAAATACCTTTAGTGCGACAAACGTAAGGGTGAAAAATTAAATCGCAAGTATAACAATTTTTTTATGAAATTTATGGAGATAACGAACAGTATTCAAGCTAAAAAATCCATTGAACAAAACAAATTTTGTAGCAGAGCAAACACGAACCTCTAAAACATCAGAGGTGGGATCAGGTGCCATGGAGGAGTGAGCATCCCCTGCCGACCGGTCAAACCCGCCGTGTGCCATGATCGGGAAATAACGAAAAAATCCGTCGACAATTCAGTGTGTAAATAATAGCCTAACAATTAGTATGAAAAACGTCAGTCAGCATTTGACTTAATGATAAATTGTATTTGCTGACAAGGACATTGTATCGACCATAGAACCTACGAAATGACAACTTTAAACAAGGACTGCTGATATTCTTGTTTAATCAACTTGTTTGTCAATAACATACCTTTTTTTAGAAATTGTTTATACGTAGAGGATGCTATTGCGTATTGAATTAACTGAGAGATATAAACCCCTTATTCAGGTGATGAAGGTATACTGCTGCATAAGTAAGGGAAGATATTTCTTACAACATTTAAGAATACTTTATGTAAGATCTCCACAATTTGCAAAAATTGAACATTATTTGTCTTTGATATAGCATACACACACTAAAGAGGGCAAAAAGGATTTTTTACTCGTATTTTAACACAATTTTTCAAAATAAGTGGGTTTTCGTTCCATTTTTTAAAAGATTATCCTCAAAGTTTGCGTAAAAATACATGCATACATTTCTTTGTTCATAAAAACTTGGAGAAAAGACCCAATATATCTTTAAAATAAATACTTTTTTGCCAAACCATTCGCACCTTTCTGGGAAATATTTAAGTCCATTTATTCAAGAGTCATATCACAAACATGATTTAAATTCCAAGATTCATCTGAATTTGTATAGCGAAGTGGTAAACGGGTGCGTCTCAAAGGGAAATGATACTCAGGATTTTCATGGCCGTAGGAACCCGGGGGAGGGCGTGCCCCCCCCCCCCCCCAATAATTTTGCCGATATGTAGAATATTATAGAAAATATAGCTACTAAATGCTTGTGCCCCCTCAATGATAAAGTGATATGACTTTTTTTTCTGCTTGTCAAGGAATTTTGGTAGTTGATAGTGCCCCCCCCCCCAACTGAAAATGTATGGTTTTGCCCCCTCAAAGTGAAATTGCTTCCTACGGGCCTGATTTTTATTGCTAGGGTTCGAACCCAACGAATATCACATTATTTTTTGACAACAGAATAAATTTTGTTTAGAAAATTTTCCAAAAAGAAGTTTTGCTCATCATAATTTCAATAATGAGAACTTTACTCTTAAATTCTAAATTCACAAATTGAATATAATTTTTATATATCTTTATCTATAGGCATTCTGCACGCCTTGTTCACTCATCTCCATGACCTAAATCATGTTACATAATTCTCTCACTCTCTTAAAATTATGGGGGGTTTACAATCCCTATCATTTCTAACAGCATAGATATCAATTAACCTTGCAGTAATTTACATATAGGCCAGTGTTTATTCCCGTATATAAACACAGTTCAGGGTTATTCCGGGCAATCGCTAATGTTCATACATGTATAACAGGTGTAATAAGCATTCACATCTTTTTGGTGTATCCTCAACGCAATACTGTAAAATTACACATATTTTCTTTGGGTCAAAGTCATATATTCGTGGTTTGAAATAAATTTGGAATAAAATTGGTCTGAAGGGATTAAATTTCGTGGTTGACGACTTGCCGTGTTGTCATACAAATGAAATTTCATGTTTGGTGGAGGACATGAATTCATGGGAATTTTCATACCACGAATACAAACAAAAATTAATCACATACGAAAATTAGTGACTTCACAGTATAAAATATAGTCAAATCTTATAAGATTTCTCTTCCGTTTAAACAATGGTTGATATGCACGAACAGTCTACATATATGCAAAAAAAAAAACCATGTCATAGTGTCTCTTTTAATAGTGTAACCATGCTTAATTTCGCATATTGTTCTATACGGAAAGTGTGTCCTATACTTACTGAATAAATGTACAAACTAACGGCTACAGTTACCACTTTCCGTGGTGTCAACAAGTGTTGATAACGAAACGGAAACCGTAGAGCGATAAATCTTTCCATAGCCATGAACACCACCATCAGATGAGAGGCCACCATTGTGGAGTTCCTCGAGAATCCACGTATGATACAACCTTGATCCCCTCCCAGCACACAATACCCTAACCACGATGCAGCAACAACTTGCGAGTTACTTATTGCTGAAAAATAAAGAAAAATTGACTACATGGTTGAAGATTATTCATGTAGATTTGATATTTGACCTGAATATTTCGAGTTCCTCTTGATAGCCCAAATTTGAACTGATACACTGGAACCCGGTGATGTCTGAACCACGGACAAGGATGTGGTGGGGCGTAAGGTTAGTATTTTTGGTAGATGCTGAATGAGTCATTATCATGCTATAATTTTTGTGCAGGAAGTTCCTGATTAAGGTAATGATTGAAAATTGTACAAATTTTGATGTTTTTTAATTTGTTGTTTTAACGTCCCTCTCGAGAATTTTTCACTTACAGTGAGACGCCACCACTTGCCGGTGGAGGGCTACAAATTTTGGCCTATGCTCGGCACTTAGGGCCATTGAGCAGTGAGGTATCTTTTTCGTGCCAGCACCTACTGCGACAAGGGACCTCGGTTTATACGATCTCATCCAAAGGACCGGTCTCGACGTCCCGCAGTGGGATTCGAACCCGCGACGTAAGGATCAACTCTTTACTTCGCTCTAACCACTGCGCCACGCGGGCGACCAAATTTTGATGGTAAAGACCCACTCAAAAATGACCTAGATCATGAAATGCACAATTTTTGCTTTTCTTTAAGTTAAGTTATGAATGCTTACGTGACAGTACCTATTATTGTTTTTTATCCCATAAAAGCAAATTACCTTTATGTTGTTTTTCAGGTTTATCCGAAAGACCCTTGACTTTCACTTCAAGTGCCGGGCGCTTGGCGGAGGAACATTGACTACCTAAATGTAGGCTACTTTACGTTTTAGGTTTGATGCAGTGTCGGCAACGAGAACCCGGTACCTCCCGACCATAAACCGGTCGTCCTACCACTAGGCTACTGCGACCTGTCTGGGCCTTGAGAAGATTTTTGTAAGATATGTCATGAAATTTTCTTTAATTCTTTGTTATTAAGAATATTGACGGGGATCTCAAAAAACTTCGTTATATCCGTAAATTCGCTATATCCGTTTTCGTACTGTAACGGGTATTTTCTGCGACTGTATTTTCTGCGGATGGGAAAAATCTGCAAAAATTACAATTGCAAAAATATTTTTTAAATATTAATTAATAAGATACCTAATATTTATTCCCAAACTCTGTATATGGTGCTTACGTCAAGGTAGTCTTTCATGGTGACCTTATTTAACCCGTATATTTATTACTGATAACTGCATAATATTTTTTTAAGTTATCCAGAGTATGCAATATGTTATTTTTTAAACAATTCACAACATTAACGAAAAGACTGTAAAGCAGCAGACCGGTCTGATTCACCCTTAATACGATCATGTCAATATTTAAAATACGTAAAACGTTGCAGTATTCTGCTAAATTTAATATCCGGAAGTCAATTCCGGTAAATGATTTTTTTTTTGCGGTAAATTGCAACCGTAAAAATTTTTCCTTTTATAGGTGAAATCGCAAAATAATACAAACCTCAGGAAATACTCGTTATACGGTACTGAATTCGAATAGCAGAGATTTGCCTCTCAAATGTCCAAAGTATGCTGTATATCGACATAAGGAACTATTTTGGAAAGTAAATTAAAGGTAAAGTTGAGTGTCATCAGGTTGGTAACTATTATACAAAAGCCATTGTGCCAAAGTATCAAATCAATACCTCTTTCACAAGAGGTGTGACAGACGGACGGACATACGCCAGGTTAAATGATCCCTTAGTGTCTCTTTGCTCTACAGGCGACACAAAAATGGAGTTCACAATTTTCATCTGTAAAATGAATTGTTTAAATTGCTTTTGTTTCTTAGTTAATACGGGTGGGAAAAAACCAAAAGAAATGAATTTATATCTCGATTATTAGTTATCTCTATTTCATTCACTACTGCCAATATGAAGTGTTGCCGCTTTAGTCAAGACAAGGAAGCAGCATACATAACTTTATACTTATATTTGAAAATATTACTACACGAAGTTAAATGGGCAATTCTTGTCATTCTTCGTGTTTAGAAATCAATATCGAATACAATGTTAACTTCCTTTTTTTTTACTGGTTTGATTGACTCTGGGTGTTCTCTTAACAAGTCCATCCGATTGTATTTAATTTTGCAACAATTTCTGTAACTCTACTATTACAGGTATGCTGAATACTTGGTTTAATATCAAGCCTTAGACGAAAGCGTTATCATAAAAGTTAAAGATAAGCAAAAGTGAAGACGTGAACTAAGTTTAACTGAAATCTGATCAAAACTGTTGGAGGATTAGAATTTTGAAAAATTGTTGTGAGACAGACAGACGGACCGACACCTTACTATCGCATTTAAGCTCCTCTGGTCTCCCGCCGATATATTGCCGACTCGGTGTTAAGCAATAATTAATCAGTCAATCTTCTGGTCTCTGACCAGTAAAGCTAAAAAATGGCTTGCAATGTACATGTCTAAAATAAAAATTTTGTGATGACACAGGTACTGAGTTGGCTAAATATGGCACAAAAATATAAATGCCACTACAAGGATCATTAAAATGGTTCTTGGCGCGTAACTCGATAAGTTTAATATTGTGTACGCGCTCCCTCTCCAATAGCGTTATCAGTGTTTTAATTACATGTATCATACAGAAGCGCGTACATATATTAACTACTTTTAAAGTATTTTACTATCCATTATCTTTAAATTCCTTACACTGATCTAAGATATTTTGTAAAACTTTTTGTCAATTCTCTTTGGATTTTTTTTTTTATTATCTTGCCAGACAAGTAATTTTTATGCTATAGAAAACAACAAATCACCTGAAACGTCAGGACAAAGTGATTGAATCAGGAACACGTATTGGTCATTCAATCTCTCTCTCTCTCTCTCTCTCTCTCTATATGTAATATATATATATATATATATATATATATATATATATATATATATATATATATATATATATAATTCAAAAGTACTTAAAAGATGATGTCACACAGTAAAAATAATCATAAAAGAAAATGCACTGTTTCCAAAATTTCATTCAACACGAGCGCTTACTGGATTTCATAATCCGTCTTCGGGTGTACATAACATTTGAACTGTTTTGTTTTGCTCCAACAAAACAAGCAACACAAAACAGTTCAAACGTTATGTACACCTGAAGACGGATTATGAAATCCAGAAAGCGCTTGTGTTGAATGAAATTTGGAAACTGTGCATTTTCTTTTTCTTGTATATATATATATATATATATATATATATATATATATATATATATATATATAAATTATATATATATATATTCAGAGGAAATGGAACAGTTTTTATTGGCTACAAATAAGTCATTTTGAAGCTTAAAAATTTGCTGTTAATTAATGTGTAATAAAGATACTTCATAAAAGATGTCGAGAAGACTTTGGGAGACATTTCATTTTTTTTTTTTTTTTTTTTTTTTTTTTTATAAAAAATGAATATGATAAACAATCATAATATTGTTGATATTTTTAAATGTTCAAGAGACGTTTCACTTACATAAAGCCATGAGAGGCGATCATATTTTTTTTAAATAAGATTGCGGAATTTCAGAAAAATTCCTCATTTTAAAATTTGAAACCACATATATCCTTAAAATATTACTGATCCCGACTGGAATTATACAGAGAAGAATTATTTTCCAATTTTAAGAAAATAATCAGATTGCTTGACTGATGTATTTGGTTTACAAATTAATTGATTTAATCAAAAACTTGATTTCTCCGTGGCGAGAGTTTTAGATATAATTTGTTGAATATTTTTATTTTGTATTGATCTTTATCGGAATCGGTGTTATTTCAATCGATATTGGTGAAATATAGCAATGTTATTAAATTTCGAAATTTGACTACATTTTTAAAAAAAAAAAAATGATTGTCAAATATTTCTTTCCGATAAATAAAATGTTTTTGAAGATGTTATTAATAGTTTTCAAATTATCAACAAATCTTGTGTTTCATTTTAGTTTTTTTTTTATTAGTTTACACGACTCTTCTGCCATGTTTTATAAGATATACATCTACATATGATGCATATATTGAAAGCAAATTTAAAGTTCTAAATGATTTATTTGCAACCAAACAATTTTCATATTTCCTCTGAAAAGATAAGAAATTCTTTAAAAAAAAATAATTAAAAGGTAATATTTTTTTAATGCTGAAATCAAATGCCAAAAAAACATGCAACTTATACATCTACTAAATAAAGTTTTGGTGTGTACCTTCTATAGTTTTGTGCTCAATTCTGCAAAATGAACCTACATGTGTAATTACACATTAAAAAGTATGAAGTACTTACCAGCGTACAACAAATCACAAAAACACACCGCCAGGGAAAGAAATTTAGGTTGCGAAAAATGCCTTTGTTTGTACATGGACCTAGACAACCAGATCACAGCCACTATACTAGACACCCCTGTCCAAACATTGATAAAAATCGCACTGACACTCTCCCTAGTCTTGTTGATGCAGGTACTGTTCACACTCATCTCGAATGCTCTGTGTTAGTAGATTTGCTAGTCTGAAAATGTTGTTTTTTCCCTACTTATATGATAGAGATTCATACTTTGATGATCGATAAAATAATTGAGACTCGCTCATCTGAAAAGGAAATGGGTTTCAAAGAATGAAATTAGACATGAGAAGAGTCTTAAACGGAATACTTCTGTAATTTCAGTTTCTGTTAAGCTATGCTAACGAGGGATCGTTTGCAAGATCATAAAGTGATTAATTTTATAGAGTCCCTAAGGAGTATTTCATCTTAAGCACAAACTCTGCATTGATTGTAAGAAAAATCATTATATCTAATGTATTTTTTTATTGAGCTATTAAAGAGACGACGTATAAAGTACCCTGGATATTCATTCTTGTCCAGGAAGTGTCCGCCTGGAATTATCTATTCTTACGAAATACTCTTAAATTATAAAACACTTGGAAATATATCAGAATGGGAATTGTTAACATGTTAATAGGTCATGGACCAGAATTATGAAAAATATAAATTGAAATAATTATCACAATTAGCAATATTGCGTAACATTTTTAAAAGACATCCTGCCTTGACTTTACTTGTCACACGAATATCCTTGAACACTTCAAGGACAGATACAGCGAATTGCATAAGGACTTATTCTTCAAAGGCGTGCAAATCAATGTATTACAGCTCCATTTAGACCTTAAAAATGTAATGTCAATATACATGATATGCTCATCCTTTCTGCCCCGATATCAAACAAAATTGCACATTGTTTTGTCCTATCATTCTTTTTTCCTGTCATAAAAGTAAAGCTTAGAACCATGAAAGTCAGGACTTTACATTTGGCAGACTTTTAGATACATGTATATGAGAGCATTACTATTTTTCATTGAATTTTTTTGTGAAGAAAAATTATAAGTAAATCAATTATGGATCGGGATCGGTATTTTGGAATGAAGAACACGACTCCACTTTTGGTTCAGTCCAGTCACGTAATCAAGATAGTATATAATTTACCTTCTTCTAATTTAGCTCATTACTTATCTGGCGACTGTGCAATCCATACTCTTCGTAACTATTCAATGCATATTTTGAAATGGTGTTCACTGATACTCTAATAATGTATTTATTTTAATAATCGCTTTAATAAATCACAGGGCTTTGATCACTGTTAAATGCGGTATGAAAGTTTGATTGCATGTCTCCGTAGTGATGTAAAATGAACTTTATCAGTGTGTTAACAAATAGTTTAATTACTGGGAAGGAACAAAAAAAATTATTGACTCGGAACTCTTATGGATATTCCTGTGATATTATTACAAGGTACCGGTAGAAACACTCTTATACATGTACGAAGTACAAAGGAAACTAACCACGCAACCAGATATTCAGTAGGCATATTCACTTTGACAGTTAATATCAATATTATTAATTTGTAATTTATTTTGTCAAATCATTGATTGGAATTTGTGTTCATCAAACTCATCTTGTTTACCGTTATTTAAGCACTGCAATATTTTAATTCCATACCGTGCTCCTGCAGCTGGCCACTAGAGCTAACTAACTGATTAAGCCGAAAATGAATGAAATTCCCAAAAAACAAAGCTTGCATTTTTCGTGACTATTTTTAGTCTTTAAACGTATCTTTTACACATTTTTTTTATCCAGGTACTGCTTATTATTAGTATTACCACAATTGCATCGTCCCAGTCATAGGGTCACTTTTTATGCAATGTCTGCCATCATCACCAAATGTACTAGCGAACTTAAATATGTTTTTCTAAAAAATATTTATATATTAGAGAGCTTGTTAGAGTACTGAATAAATTCTAATGTCATGATAAAGCATGACCACTAATTGAGCATCGAAGTATCTCTTTCAATATTTAGCTATTTAATTTAATATTGCTGGAAAAAATCTTATGAACTTTATAATTCTGTGCAAAATATCGATTTAGACCCTCAAGCGCTTCTCTCACTTCTGTACATAGAGTAATTCTTGTCGACATGACCTGCATGTTATGATGTTTCTAAAAGACATTTTACCATATGTGTATATATATATATATATATATATATATATATAAAGAGGTTTTAACATTAGGGATTTTTAAGCATGTTACCCGTTAAGTTGGTTGGACACTGTTATTGTCCTGCTTAAAATTGTTTATCAAAAGTATTTCTAGGAGATGGAAAATCTAAATAAACTTTCATAATAAAGATAATCACCAAGTCTAGTTGTGCATGCAGAATTGAAATTTTCAACCTGGCTATTCTTGTTATGGAAACAGAAGATACACACAAAATTTTGATTATTTTTTTTCGACGAAACACTCCAATCTGTTTTACTAAATTTAGTGAGAAAAAAAATATTCCTTCAAGAGGTCAAACTGATTTCTGCCCAAAAAGAGCTAGGTCCACTTTATGCATAAAATGGCCCTATCCTTATATCAATTAATTGACTATCACCCTCTATCCCATTTCATATATCAAATTAAAATAGAGACTTAGTGCTTTCATTTCCTATAACATAATTTCTTTTTGAGAATCCAGGTATTGGAAAAGAGGCTTTGAGAAAATGCAATGTTCTTTAATTTTGCAGAAAACGTGCGTATTTGACTACCATCGGCAAAGAATTAAAATATGAGCACAGCCCACGATCCAAAAATTAAAGCATGTTTTGTGATCTTCAGAAACAGATCTTTCATTATGTAATTGCATATTTTGGATCAGAGGTTGTGCTCTATATGTAATATTGAAAAAATACCTCAACTTTTGGCCATTTTTAAGGGAATTTACAGGATAAAGGAAAAATGACGCATTTTATGACGTCATAATGCATTGACTAGAGAAAAAATTACGTCATGTTCAATAGATACACGGTCACCAAGGGTCCAAGTTATGAATACTGCATTTTCAACCAAAACTGAACAGTTTCGATTTTTCAGAAATTCTCAGGGCCAAAAAAAGGCCCTTAGTGGCTCTTGCTCTTTGTATCGATAGGACATACTTTGTCATGGATGCAGTGGCATTTGTTGTGTTTAAATTTCGTCTCTAAACGTATTTAATTCAACAAAATATTCATGTCGCCACTAGTTTCTTAAATTTAAAATTTCTAATATGGCTCCCATTTCTATGGAAACAAAAGGGGTAAATTTCTGAGTTTGAATATTGCAGAATCTTCAATAGTTGCTTACTCGGTGTTTATCTCCAGTAATGCACCTGAGAAGGGACATTTCAGGGTAAAAGGAGGAAGGTTATCTTGGATGACATATTCTATAATTGATTGCACAAGCATAGTTTATAGTTATATCAGCTCGAACGTAGTAGGGGCGACATACATGTACATATGTACACGTATTGTTATTCTTCAGCTTATTAACATTGTCGGGGAATGTTCTTGGAGATGGCTTGAACAATCTTGACAAAACTTTACGGGAATAAAGTTTCAAATTTCAAAATGTCCGCCGCAGCGCTGCCATGGAACAGGGCCATAGTAACGGTTTCAAAAGTGTCGGGGGAAACCTCACAAAAAAATCTGACAAGAAAAATAAAAAAAAACCCAACTAATTAACTGTCCAATTTGTCAGTGCTCAGGCTTACAGCAACAAAAAAGGGGGAGAGGAAAACCAGCGTCTAAAGTAAAAAATTACCATAGCAAAATATTATACACAGACAAAAAGTGAGGGCCGCGTACTACGGGCCTGTGAAAACAAACAAACAAGAAGTCCATAGTCCACATCTTTCAACTGAGCACACTGGCTAGGAAAAAGCACAAATCAGTTCAGTATTGAAAAGTTTACATGAGGGCGACTTGAATTTTAAACTACCTACCCGAGGAAGCTTACATATCAATATAACAAATACTTTTACTGTTCTTGAGCAGAAATTTTTTAAAGATTTTTTCCTATATATTCCTTTGTAAAAATTTGATACCTTATTATGACCCCTCCCTAACCCGGGGGGTCATCATTTTAACACATTTGAAGCAACACTACCTGAGGATGCTTCCATATCAATATGACTAAACAGAGCTTTGTTATTCTTGACAAAGAGTTTTCATATATATTTCTAAGTGAAACTCTGATCCCTCATTGTGGCCCCTCCCTACATTTGAACAAAGTTGAATCTACAATACCTGAGAATGCTTCCATTTCAAAATGACTAAACATGGCTTTGCTGTTCTTGAGCAGAAGATTTTTAAAGTTTTTTCCTATATATTCCTATGTAAAACTTTGATCGGCTTATATGGCCCCACCCTTCCCCCGGGGATCATGATTTGAACAAACTTGAATCTACACTACCTGAGGATGCTAAGATATCAATATGACTAAACAAGGCTTTGCTGATCTTGAGAAGAAGATTTTTTAAGGTTTTTTCCTATATATTTCTATGTAAAACTTTGATCCCCCATTGTGACCCCAACCTACCCCCAGGGGGTCATGATTTGAACAAATTTAATTTTAGACTACCTAATGAAGGTTTCCAATAAGTTTCAACTTTTTTGGCCCAGTGGTTCTTTAGAAGAAGATTTTAAAAATATGCCACCAAATTATCGCTATTTCTGAATTATCTCCCCTTGAATGGGCGTGATCCTTCTTTTCAACAAGCTTGTATCCCCTTTACCAATGGATGCTTCGTGGCAGGTTTGGTTGAAATTGGTCCAGTAGTTGTAGGAAAAAGTCGAAAATGTGAAAAGTTTGCAGACAGACTGACGGACTACAGACAAAATGTGATCAGAAAAGCTCGCATGAGCTTTCATTTCAGGTGAGCTAAAAATGATATTTCTTGTATTTATTTTTTCTCAGTAACTTGCCAGTCAATGTTTTTAAAATTTTAAAGGATTGTTACTTGTGTCGTCTGTAAGAAAACTCGAATAGGATGGTCGGCAAGAAGGTTTTTTTTGTTTTAAGGAAGCTCTAAACATTAACAAAAAGTGCTTTTTGGACTTAGAGAAAAATATATCATATAAAGATATGCATATTGAGACTAGTTAGTTCATTTTCAACATAG